AGAAGCTTCTGGCAAGTTAGAATTGCAGGAGTCTCGGGGGGGGGCTAATGTCTCTTTCAAGTTTCTTTCTTTATCTCCAAGCAGATGGTTATTCAGTGTAGTACAGTTGATAGAGTCATGGACAAGGACTCGGGAGACAGATTCATATTCCTGCTTGGCCGTGGATATTAATTGTGTGTGTGTTGGGTGCCTCTTCAATAAACGGACCAGAAAAAGCCTGTCCCCCAGCACATTAGTCCATGTGTGCAAATATATTGTGTGTGTGTGCTAAAATTTAAATATTTAAAAAAAGAAAAGAAAAAGAACCCATACAACAGGGTTTTACTGTCAGTGAGCTCAAACTTTTAGAGACCTTTATCCCTCTGGCAGAAGACTAGAAGCTTCTGGCAAGTTAGAATGCAGGAGTCTCGGGGGGTCTAATGTCTCTTTCAAGTTTCTTTCTTTATCTCCAAGCAGATGTTTATTCAGTGTAGTACAGTTGATAGAGTCATGGACAAGGACTCGGGAGATAGATTCAAATTCCTGCTTCGCCGTGGATATTGTGTGTGTTTTGGGTGTGTCTTATAAAATTACTCCTTAAATATCTCACTTACCTTGAAAGCTCTGTTAGGATTGTCATGAGTTACTTGACAGCAGATTACATTAACAGGCCTGCTCTACAAGCTGAGCAAAAGAACAAAGCCCTAATTTTGTGTCATTAACTAAATTCAGCCTTTTTTCTTTCCACCTGTGTACATCACACATGAAGAGGGGAGCACTATAGCTTGACCTGGATAGTTGTCATTTTCTTCACACAAAGCAAATTGCTTGAGGAAGAGATCCTGTTTTATCCATGGAGGCACTACATGTAAACCTAGAATTTGGAGGAAAATCAAGTTTCTGGCTCAAGTATAGAACCTCCAAGGATACAAGAGGGCCAATTCAGACAGCCAGTTTTGTGTGAGAGCAAAACAACAATGGTAGAGGGACACACTCCTCCTCAGACACAAAATGGGCACCCATAAAGATAATGCCTGAATAGGTCTATAACTATTCCTGAAACACTATCTTCAGAGTAGATGTGGGGATAAAATTAGCACCTGGGTTTGTTGCAGAGTCAGACTCCCATCTAGCACGTCATTACTCTTGTGATTTGGGAATGATAGTTGTCATTTTCTTCACACAAAGCAAATTGCTTGAAGAAGAGATCCTGTTTTATCCATGGAGGCACTACATGTAAACCTAGAATTTGGGGGGAAATCAGGTTTCTGGCTCAAGTATAGAACCTCCAAGGATACAAGAGGGCCAATTCAGACAGCCAGTTTTGTGTGAGAGAAAAACAACAATGATAGAGGGACACACTCCTCCTCAGACACAAAATGGGCACCCATAAAGATAATGCCAGAATAGGTCTATAACTATTCCTGAAACATTGTCTTCAGAGAAGATGTGGGGATAAAGTTAGCACGTGGGTTTGTTGCAGAGTCAGACTCCCATCGAGCACGTCACTACAGTACTCTTGTGATTTGGGAATCTCAGAATATAGATTCTCACAGGCTGCTCTTTAAGGACATTGTTTTCTGTTTCCATATAATGTAAAGTTATGCTGAAGTAATATTTTTAAAAAACGCTGACATACTTAACATGATTTTTTAAAAGTACTTTCTTTCTTTCTTTCTTTCTTTCTTTCTTTCTTTCTTTCTTTCTTTCTTTATTTATTTATTTATTTATTTATTTATTTATTTATTTATTGGCTACCTTCATGTCCAACTCTCACTACTATATCACATGGGCTTTCTGTTGAAGTGCTTGTGGTTAAAAATTGCTTTCTTAGCACTATGTAAGAATATCTCTCCTTGGAAGGAGAAATGATCCTCCACCCTGGATGAAACATACTATATTTAAAGGACAGCAGGGAAACAATTCTGACATTTTTTAAAAAAAATGCATGTTTCATGGAATTGTTACATGCCAGTTTTACAGAGCAAGGCAGAACATTGTTAATGAGGCCTTTTTCTCATCTTAAAAAGATTTAACAGAGCAGTTAAGAATAGAAATAGGAAGGGTGGTGCAACCAAGAGCAACGCAGTTCCGGAAAGCTTGCTTCCAGAAGTTGAGGGTGTGGAATGTTTTGTACAAGACACGGGGAAGACGAAAACACTTGTCGCTTCCTTGGGTAAGACGATCTCAACAAGTGGCCCAGGGCAATGTTAGGAGTGATGTCTTGCAAGGCACAGAGTAAATTAAATTAAATGCAAGGTTCCAAAGACATCAGCATGGCACTGAGGCAGTTTGATCCACAGATGTAAGAAACTCGACCCGTTCTTGTACTCAACCCAGACCCAAATGGAGTCTCTCTTCATTTTTTCACTCACAGGTTGCAGAACTCAATTCTGTGACTTTCCAGGGACCACGGAAAAAGGGGGAGATCAGTGGAATCTCAGCTTACATACTTCCTACTTTACACATGTCCTCACAGAGATGATCAGGCAAAAAAAAGATAGTTCAAGGCTGATTCAGAAGAAGAAACATCTCAGTGGATCCTCTACAACCCAGTAACTGATCAGACCCTCTTTTTTGCAGCATGCAGTACTGCAATTAGGCAGTTTCAAGCACTGGGAGGACCCCCAAAGAGAGAGACTAAACAGAGCTGAGGATGAGAGTGAAGACACTGAGCACAGAACCAGTTTCTAATCCTTCTACCAGTCTACAATATTCTTTTCAGCATAGCTAGAACTCTTTCGAATGGAATTGTTTATTTAATATTTCACTGCCTTGACTGGTTGCCCACTCACCTGTACACACACATGCCCACATACATGCACACATCTTTAAAATACTTCCAGAATACCTGGTGCTAGTTAAAGCCCAAGAATGTAATATTTTTAATCTAGAAATCCTGTGATTAATTCTTCCCAAAAAAAGCCCCTCACTTCCAGTAAGAGTAAGCTAACTGTTTTCCAACAAGCATGTGCTGCACTTTTGTGCACACATAATAATGCTAAACCCCACTCATTTCACAGATTTTGAGCCACCAAACAGTATGAGATTGCAGCCATAGCATTGCACACTCATCAGCTTTGCTCAGACAAACAGGCGCCTGGCTGAGCTCAGCTCTAAGTTTGCCAAGTTCATTTATGACAGTCAAATCGGGACTTGAAGTTTTACAATAAGCAGGTGCTCCTGTTTTAATCTGGTCACATGCTGCTAGATTTAGAACAGGAGTGGGCAACTTAAGTGGTTTGGGCCAGTTCATCACCCAAACACTCTCTGTAGATTGCACCTGATTGCAAAAAGGAAGGAAGGAGGGAAGGAAGGAAGGAGGGAAGGAAGGAAGGAAGGGACCTCATATCCATTTCTAATTTTTTTTCTATGTTGTGGGCTTGTGAGTTGGAGAAGGCTATGACCCACAGTGCAAAATAAAAATGCTGTTCCTGGATGCCTTCACGAACACACTGAAATTTTGTACACATTTTTGGGCATGTTTCCTAACATAATTTCCCCACTCTATTCATTTGTCCACTGATTGCAAAGTATCCATGTTTTTTTTCACCATTTGTATAGATTGTCATCATTCACATATTAAATATTTTTTTGCACAGTTTTACATTTTATTTGTCCATAATGCCTTATAAGCTATGCAAATTTGTGGATTCTCAAAGGGAGGTTGCATTATCTTTCTCAGAAAATATGAAAATATTTCTGAAGGTATGAAAATGCTACTTCCATCTCAACTGTTGAGCCCATCGGCATTATTTTTCCATCCCTACAGAGTAATATCATGGGAACTGTTGGAGATTAGAACGAATATGCCGTATATAATTTGCACATTGTAGCAACAGAGGGAAAGATAAGCAGAAAGGTTGGCGATTACTCCTTTGAAGCAATAGGAAGTCTTACTTTCCACCATAGCATAACACTCTACTACCCATACCACTGTATGGTGGTGCCTCGCATTACGACGTTAATTCATTCCAGCGAAATCACTGTAGAACGAAAATGTCGTAAAGCGAAATTTAAAAGCCCACAGAAATGCATTAAAACCCGTTTAATGCATTCTGATGGGCTGGGAACTCACAGTCCATCGAAGATCCTCCATAGGGCGGCCATTTTCGCTGCCTGTGCAGCGAGGAATCCGTCCCAGAAAACAGTGGGCGGCCATTTTGAAACCGCCGATCAGCTGTTAGAAAATCATCGTTTTGCAAAGAATCGGTTCCCGAAGCAGGGAACTGATCATCGCAAAGCAAAATTCCCCCATAGGAAACATCGTAAAGCGATCGCAAAAGCGATCACAAAAAGTTCATCGTAATGCGGTTTCATCATTAAACGGAGCGATCGTAAAGCAAGGCACCACTGTACTACCCATACCACTCTATTTGCTGTAATGGGAAATCAAGTGCTGTATGTAATTCTCCAGGGCCTTCCTGTGGTCCCTGGATGCTTCCCAGTTTCAGCTATACTATATACTATATATATGTAATATATAGTATATAGTATAGCTGAAACATATATATACACACACACAGTAGTATATATGAGCAAGAGAGAGAGAGTATATATTATATTATATACTATATCTTTAACTCTAAGATGATGGTTGTGATACATTTGTATCTATTTCTCATTTCCTCCACCAAGCCCCCCAGAGCAGGGGGAGCAAATTTGGGTGCTCTTTGGGTACAAGTGCCCACTTAACAAGAAGGTGTTTTTATAAGAATCGTCCTGTTTGGGAGGTAACTCTTGCATACTCCTATTCATATCTTCAAGTAGCTATCGAACTGTTCAACTCAAGTTAGCTAAAATATATCTATTAATCACTATTGAACAGCCATAGATACCTTAACAAGCTGCAAATGTGGTGAAATTAGCTTAAATGCAATTGGTTAACAGAAGTCTAGGCTTTGATTGGGCTGCTGACACATTGTAAAGGCAGACATATAGACATGACAAACTAAGGTCAATTGTATGTTTTTCTAAGTTAGTATATGAATTGCTTTTTTTATTGCTTCATAAAACTACAGGAAAGTCTTTTCCACACAATGGCAATGGAAACTTCACTATAAGCAATTTCATCTTCTGAAACAGGGAAAAGTGTGGTGAGTCATAAAACTTTCATTTTAACAAAATTACATCTGTCAAAAAAATTCCAGCGTTATAAGAAGTTTGGCTGTTATCTGAGTGTAGGCAAGCAAAGCTGCCACTTACTAAACAAATGCTGTAATTTAAACTACTTGACTAGACTGGTCTATGAAGCTTAGTCAAATTGCTTTTCAACTTCAAAGAGATTTTTTAAAAATTCCACACAGAAACTTTGGTTTCTTCTTCAGACGCTCTTTATTGCCAGAGATAGCTTCTCCTCCATCAGCTTTTACCAACAACATTGTCTTATCTCCCACATTTGCTTTCAAGCTTCAATTCTGATTGTTCAGAGCACTATCTCCCTAGTGGTCCCAGGTGATTAAAGCACATCCAAAGCAGGGTCCAGGTGTGACTACACAGTGGGAAGAATGAAAATGGATCCGCTATAAAGTCATACCTAGGGAGTTGGGTTTCCCTGGGTGAATTTGCTTTACCTGTCCACAAAAGAGTCAACAGAGAGAGAGAAGGAAACTAATAATCTGCTTCTTTTGCAGCTTGTTAAGGTATCTATGGCTGTCCAGATCTGCAGGAAGCACAGATACATTAGAGCTACCTTAAGAAGGTTCAAAGAGCTACCTTAACAAGCTGCTGATTAGCAATCTCCTCCTCACTCTCTGCTGACTCCTTGCTCCTTTTTTCCCTTTACTCTCTAGGTGTCCTAGCAGACCAGCACTTAGACTAAGCGCTTTTTAAAAATGATTTGGAGACAAGGGGTAGTCAATTGAGGAGAAGAGACACCTCTGTGAGTGCTCTTTTGTTTCTTCCTCCCCATCGTGAACTAGCTTGCTAGGAGAACCAGCTTCTGGGCGCCCAATCAAGCAGTGGTCCAAGTGATCACACCACTCAAATTGATGTGAATTCATTAAGTTTGAAAGAAAGTAAAAGACCCAGCAAGAGCAGAAAAAAGAACAGATTCAGGGGGAAACCTCTAGGCTGATTCACATTGACGTGTACATCATGTAGTCAACAGAAAATAATCAGAATTGGACTACTCCAATCCTGAAGTATTTCCTGCATTATTTTGTCAATGCAGTCACCCCTCAAAGTCACACTAATAGGCAGAGTGAGGCAGCTGTCAGATGACACTTAGATTCTGGGTGTCATTAAAGGGCAACAGATTTCTTATTTAATTTTTTTAAAAATTTAACTGCCAGAGATTAGGAGAGGCATTTGTAGGGTTTTCTGTCTCCTGCATCAGGTTGAGTTAAAGAGGAGGGCGTGCAGCACAATCTCCAACTGCATCTGAGGCAGCAAAACATCCTGAAACAGTCCTTATCCTAACAAAGTTATTTGGATAAAGCAGTATGCTCAGGGAATGCAGTGGACCTTTGAAGTACATTCAGCAGATGATGGTAACTGTCAGATCACCAGTACCTCATTTACCTTGCACAAGGCTGCTTTTTCGGAGAGAGATTTGCAGACTAGTCTTCAGCAAATACAAAACACATGAGAACAGTGGGAACGTAAAGGCTGGCCAAGGCATAAACTTTCACAGACTGTGGCCCACTTCATCAAATGCATGACATATTATCCCCAATTTCAAAATGACAGGGACAGTGGAGGGACTGTATATGTTATGATTGGGGGAAATGAAATGCAGGAAGTACTGACACTGGGGGGAAGCAGATACGGATTTTATTTATGCTTTAGTCTTGCAAAGCACTTGGGGATTTACTTTGGAAAAGACACAGTGTATGCCTTGTTCTGATTTATGTCCCACAGTTACTTTAGTTCATCAAACCAGTTTTAAGCCAGGAAAACACAGCATGGCGAACTACCTGAGTATGTTATGGCATTTGGTTTCCTATTGCGCAGACCCTCAGTATTCTAGTAGGCATGTTTTGTTTTCCGGCTGTGATGATGTGTTTCCCATGTGTAAAGATACACCAGGTGCATTCACAACTGATTCTATGAAGGAGCCTTACAATTGGGGTGGTGCTACAAAAGCCCTTCATACCACAAAGCACTGGTATGATTCAATATTAGCCCTCCAACTGTTCTGGGTTACATTCATAGCCTGACTTTCTTTCAAAGAGTTCAAGAGAGTGCAGATAGTTGTTGGCCGTTGTGGGTTTTCAGGGCTCTTCGGCCGTGTTCTGAAGGTTGTTCTCCCTAACGTTTCACCAGTCTCTGTGGCTGGCATCTTCAGAGTACAGATAGTTTTCTGATTGGCCAATGCACTTTTAGTCTTTCTATCTTCTTACAATGTAGATTAGGCTAAAAGGCAGTGAACAGCCCATGCTCCTCATCAGTGAGCTCCCTAGCTGAATTAAGAGTTTGAACCTGGGGTGTCCCTAGGCCTAATCTTTTACTCTAACTAACATACTACCTGGTACTAGTTGAAGATCAACAGGGCCTTGCACCTTTTCAACCAGCCTCTATCTGGAAACAGGAGGAGAAGCAACAGATTGATAAAGTAGAGGGGGAGCTTCCTTTGCAAGCAAGAAATACAGGCTCAGAATAGGAACCAACAGAGAAGCACAGATGCTGTGCTCCTCTGGGAGCGAGAAATGCTTACTTTTTCTCACTGCTATCAGATGCCGCTAAATGCTATGTTACACATGGAACATGCAGTGAAGAGTCATATTCTCTTTCCTTCCAAATAGTGTGAGGGATTCCCTCATTTACATTTACCCACATCTGCGCATGGGCATACATGCACAACCCATGCAGGGCTTTAAAAGGAAAGAAAAAAACTTGGCCCCTGCTCTCAACCTCTTTAATTCCTTGTAGGGGAATAGAACTTAAGAGGAAAAACTCGGCAGTGGGGAGTGATGGTTAAGCCTTCCCAATCTGATGGCTCCAATCTGAAATAGGAATACTTCCCTAGATGTAAAGGAGAAAAGTAACTTTTGGCTGTGCATTATGGGAAGCGTAATTTCAGAAGATGTCAAAAGCCATGGATGACAGGACAGCTGGTGCTACTCTTATGTGCTGGGATTAGTCCATGCAGCTATTTAAAAATGCCTTTAGGGCCAACATTTCAGGAGCTAGAATATCCATAGTCATAGCCAGCTGCTGATGTTTCCACAAGTTTTTTTTTAAAAAATTAAGTTTATCTAGTTCTCAAAATCCACCATCACTCCCTAATATAGTTGTTTCAGTATGTGCTCTGGCAAAAATCTATTACAAAGTGAAAATGAATACCTCAAGCATGTGGAAGTGGTGGGAGCGTGGGCTCCAAAATGAATGCAATCAACACATCAGATCAAACAACTGCACACATGACATTCAAAAGTCAGTGTTCATTGGGTCAAAAGAAATATTTGCTCATTATCTGCTACCGAGGTTGCAGTTTGAAAAGAAATTTAAGCAGTTCCCCTTTTATGGACAACTGGCTTGGTAGATGTAACTGAAAGGAAACTACTTTAATTCTCAAATCTCATAACCGGTTCTTCCAGGAATCATGTCCGGACTCTGGCTGTTGAAGTTTCTGAGCATCAGGATGAGATATCTTGGTTATGGCACGATTATAATAGACAAAGTGGCTTAAAGCCAGACAAAATGACAGCTGGCCAGTTTCTCCTTTTGCCATGCAAATCCAGTTCAAAGTAGGATTAATAGAAAGGGGGGCGGGATTGGCTGAAGAAGGGAAAATACTGCACCTAGCAACAACTTCAGATGGGCAAAATATTTAAGAACCTATTGCAACAGAAGTCACTTGAGAAACAATGAAAGTATTCACTAGCCTGCGATCTTATACAAACAGATTTGGTCATAAGTTTATTTGTGATCATAAAAAATTATAACATATGACATTGATGCAATGGAAAGCACAGTCTTTTCCCTTTTCTCAAACTAGGTTCAAATGATATGATATTTAATAAGTGGCCCCTCGCTACCTGAAGAGACACATTTATGCATCAGTGTGCTGACATAACAGAGAGGCTTATGGAATCGAGTGGAACAATTTGTCATAATACAGTCTTATTTCCATATTCATTGTTTTCATATGATTAACTCAAAGAGCTTAGAAAAGCTTTGTCATAATACAGTCTTATTTCCATATTTATTGTTTTCATATGTATCTTTAGATTGCATCTCCCAGACTCATCCAGCCAGCATGGCCCCAGCTGATGGCTGTACATTCCTGTTTTTCATAAGGGTTGGCTCACATGTGACTACTTAACTCTCATTAGCTATATCATGAATTGCTTTGATCTCAACTGGACTTCAGGATATTTCTGCTTTGATCTCTTGGTTGGTCATCAGCCATCAAAATATGCAATGAGTCAATCCCATACAATGATCTTATTCTCATAAGAATCTCAGTGCAAGGATAGTCGACCAAACCCAGAACTATTGATATGAAGTTACTGTATTTTTCCATGTATAAAATGACACTTTTTCCTAAAATAATTATAGGAAAAATTGACCGTTGTTTTATACAACTGCTGCCGCTGCCCAATTGACTCTTCCAGAGCTCATGGCTTGTCCCCTCTGGTGGCCCCGAGGCAGCAGCAGCAGGAGGCGAAGGCGTGGCCCCGAGGCAGCAGCAGCAGGAGGAGGTGAAGGCAAAGGAGCAGTCACATGCGCCCGGGCACCTCTTGCTGCTGCCTCCCCCACCCGCCCGATCACCACCTCCACTGGGACTGACGGGCTCAGCTCGCCTTGTCCTCTCCAGTGGTGGAGGCAGCAGAAGGCAGAAGTAGAGGCAAACAAGCACTCACACGCGCTCGGGCGCCTCTTCCTGCTGCCACTACTGGAGGTCAGGTTGATCTCCTTAGGGCAGGGGACAAGGCAGTGATGTGAGCTGGAGGTGAACCCTTGTAGTCGGCAGTCAGTCGCACTAGAGGAGGTAATTGGGTGGGCAGCGGAGACCGCAGCAGCAGGAGATGGAGGTGGAGGAGCAATTGCCCATTAACTGCTCCTCTGCCTCCATCAAGGGTCAAAATTAGGGGGTCATTTTATACATTGGGAGGATGTATATACAGTAAAATACGATAACAAACAGCAAACATTGGAAAGAAAGATACTTTTTCACTAAGATTCATAATTACCTGAAAGAAAGGCCCATAGATGAGCCTGGTCTGATTTAGTACAGCTATGCCATTCCTCTCCAAAATAATTAACTATAGAAACTAACAGAAACTTTGTAAAGAACATACCATTTGCAAGTACATATAAGAAAAAATAATTGCCCATCACCAAACCATGGAGAGAAGATCAAACCATACGTATCCTTTGGCTATGTTGTTCTTGTTGTTATTTAATACTTGTATTATTGAAAACTCTCTAACTGGGTATGAATGTTTTGGCTATTTACCTCATGTGCAGATGGGGAGGCCTGGAGGGTGGGAGATGAAGCAGGAGTCTTCAAATACTTAAAAAGTTCTTTTAGAAGATAAATAGCAGCTGTTCAGTATGATGGATAGGCCAAAAGCTTCAGCATCGAGTTACAAAGAAGACAAGTGTGGCTAATTACTAGGAAATTCTTTACTAAGACTTCAGCATGGGTAATAAATATAATTTGTTGGGAAAAGAAGAAAAATAACTTGGAAATGCTGTTTAAATATTGTTCAGCAGCTGACAAATGCCTTACGTTATACCTTCCTTTCTTCTTGTAGCCTTTAAAATGAAAGAGATACAAATAAAACAAATTTAAAGTAGCTTGTTCAGGAGAAAGCTGAAAACAAACAACAGAACGCTGTAGCAGTACAAAGAGCTAAAAAGAGGCAGACACCGAAACACACACACATGAAATTAAGTAACTAAAATGTGCCTAAGACATCCTGGCAAGCATTGTCATAACTCTGAATCAACTTGTTGATGCATAATTATTGGTATTATTAAATGTCTGGTAGAATAAAAGTCTGCTGTCACTGAAAAGGCATCCTCCTAGAACAGGTGTGGGGAATCTTTGACCCTAGAGGTGTGTTGCACTACAGTCACCATGATTCTGAACTACTGACCCATGACAGCTGGCACTGATGAGAACTGAAACCCCAGATATTTGGAGATATATATTGTTGTAAGCCGCCCAGAGACCTTTGGGTAGTGTGGGTGGAATAGATGTTAAATAAATGAATGAATGAATGAATGAATGAATGAATGAATGAATGAATGAATGAATGAATGAATAAATAAATAAATAATCAGTCAGTCAGTCAATCAATCAATCAATCAATCAATCAATCAATCAATCAATAGGAAGGAAGGTTCCTTCCCTTGCCTGGAAACAACCCATCTCTTTACTCTTGGAGGGTCCCTTAAGGTTCTCCAGAAGATTACATTAGATTCCCACTTATTTCTGCAAACTAAAAACTAGACAACAACCAATTCCTATGCACTAGCATATTTGGAGAAATGACTCTAGTATATTTGGGAAGTGAAGAATAAATCCTAACAATTTCAGCCTCTCAGATTCACCTTCCAAGGGCTTTACCAGACTTAATCTTCTCTGTAACAAGTAGATATTATTGTTGTTATTCTAACCTTTTGCAAGGGTGATGTCTATTTCTAATGTTTTCCTTTTCTTTGGAAAAAGTGAAGAATCTGACCAGTTTCTCAACAACCTAAAGTTAATTTCAACTTTACTGTAAACATGTAGACAAAATATAATTCTTGCCTTCAAAGCAAGATACCCAAATATAAGTAGGGCAAAATCCACTTCTGTTCTATGTGTTTTAAGGATCCTCATAATTCTCAAGTAATTTGTTTGTTGTTTTAAAAAAAACTTGAATTTGCAACCTGTCCTTACCAAAAGCTATACAATGGTTTACAAAGGTGAACAGTCTCTGTATCATACCAATACCACTGTGAATTTTATTAGTTGTTTATTGTCTCATAAGCTATCTGGATAGCTCAGTAAATTAGGTAGGAGGCTGGGACCTCAATTCCCCACTGTGCTTTCCAGAAGAAAAGCCAGCCTGTGTAACCTTGGGCAAGCTGCACAAACCCAGGGCATCCCCAGAGGAAGGGTAGGGTATTTCTTAATATTTTATACCTAGAAACCCCTGGAAAAGGCACCATCAGTAAGAAGGGAGTTGCCAGCATGTAATCATTATTATAATTAAAATCCTGGAAAGAGTCACTATAAGACAGAATTGACTGGACACACATGATTATCACCATCATCATTGTAGTCTCATACAACGTACTATGAAAAACCACTATAATCCCCTCCCCCAAAAAAGGGAAAAGGAAAGAGAAAACTAGTATAGACTATATCGGATTTTTGATATAGTCTATAGTAGCCTTCTCCAAATGGGTTCCCTTCATATTAGTTGGGCTGCAACTAGTTTCATATCTAAGCATATGCTGGGTCCATTTGGACTTCCTGCCTTTTCTCAATCTCTAAGCACCCTTTCACTTCACTAACAACCCTCAATTACACTCTTCTTACTCTCTCTTCTAACTTTTCTCCAACCTATCCCTGCCATTCTTGATTTCATACTTTGTTTGGATCTGTAGATGAATAAATGACACAACCTTACTTCCATATTGTAAAATATTTTTAAACACTGAACATTCCAGGAATAACTACCTCTGGTCTCTGACATACTCTACACAAGAGTTGGGAAACTTCTAGAAATCCAGGGCCCACACTTGGATCTTAGAGGGCTCCCTCCGCCCCATAGAGCCACCCAATGAAACATTTTTTTAAAAAAATCAATTAAAGCCCTTTCACATGTACTAATGGACAGAGGAGAGAGGCAATGTTACCAGGATTTTTTCTAACCCCTTGAGCCATTTAAGGCCCAGATGTCTTTCTTTTTTCTTCCCCAAAACCAGAAATCATGTTTGGTCTTGAAAAAAGCAAACACACCCAACCCTAACGCTAAAACCACTTAGCAGGGCCAAATCTGGTGAAATTGCCTCCCAATCCCTCTAGCGGAAGTGGGAGCATTTGTCTAGACACCACAGACAGAGATAGTATATAGTTCATTCTGTATTTTTGAAGAAGACCATCTCCATCAGATTCAAATTTGGCATTTAGGGGGAAAGGAGAAGCAAGCCGTTAAGGTTGAGTAGTGGCACGTTGATAGATATGCAGGTCACTAACTAGCCCAAATAACTCCTCTATTCCTTTGTGCATCCTTAATTATTTTTATTTCAAATTCTTTAGCCTGTTGTTTCACGTTATTTCAACAAGCATATATATACGCACAACCAGAGTGACAAATGTAAAAAATCGGTGCCATAGGGATAGACAATTGTCTTGAGGGATGAGGGTAAAAATGGGATGCTCGAGGGCTGAATGAGGTGCATGTTGTCCACCCCAATATAAACACACAGAGTGCTGGAACGGGGCAGCCCAGAATGTTAGGGAAAGATGTGAACCAGCCAGGAGCACTACTGTGTGTCACAGTTTACCCTCACCATGGCCTTGTGTATGCTCTGTGGCTGCTAACTGTGGACGGGCAAGTTTAAGTCCCCTATCCCCCTCATTTCATTTTCGATCTGTACTTCAGATTTGGATTGGACAGGCCTTCAGATGGAGGACACATGGAAAATCGATTGTCCTTTGGGAGCCCTTCAAACAGAATACTGCCCTCTCCAAAAAAAGAGAGGAAAAGTAGCCACTGTACTTACAGAGCTCTGTAACATATTTCTCAGATAACACTTTAAATGTAAACAAAAGATCAGAAGAAAACACATTTGATTAGACCAAAGTCCTATCTAAGTTCAGCATTTTGTTCACAAAGTGGCCAACCAGAAACCTAGGAAAGCTCACAAACATGACAGGAATACCAGTCTCACATTCCCCAGCAAATTACAGTATAGTGGAATACAACTTGATACAAAAGGTTATATATAGGCATCTAGACTAATAGCCACTAAGTATGTGTTGTTTGTTTGTTTGTTTGTTTGTTTGTTTGTTTGTACTCTACATCCCAAAACTCTTCAAGAATTGTCCAGACAGAAATATACATCTGCAGTCATCTTCATTTAACTCATCTGGAAAAAAGCCTGAGACCTCCTTCTAGACCTTATTTCCTACTGCAATGTTTCCATGGGAGGAAGCTGCTACAATGCTTCCTGGGGTTTGGAAATCTTGTTGCACTTTATGCCGTACCTCCTGAAGAACTACGACTCCTAGGAAGTATTGGGGAGGGAAATAAGGCCTAGAAGAGGCCTCCGCCTTTTTCCGGGTAAGTAAAATTAAGGTGTCTGCAGGTGTCTATTTGTGGGCTAGAACTCCCAGAATAATATAACTAAGCAACCAATCAATCAAAAACAGTCCCTTTCTGGTAGCCACTGATTCTCCTAAATTCCTTGAATGTATCTAATTTTGTTTTAAAACTGTCCAAGTCCATCACTATACCTTGTGGCAGGGAATTCTACCATTTTAACTATGCACTGTGTGAAGAAATAGTTCACTCCCTCTTGTGGCAGTGAATTCCGCAGTTCAACTGTGCACTGTATGAGGAAGTTCTTCATTCAGCGAAGCGCTGATTGTTCTTATTTTGACATCCTGGCAAACATTAAATGAAAAGCCTGAGTTGCAGGTGTCAGTGTTTTATATTCCACTATTATTTTTAAAAAATACCCACTCACAAATATCACAGGCAAAATATCATCTCCTGGCTGGGGAGGGAAGGAGAACACTATTTGGGTAGTTAATAGTTAAGCTTTGGCATGCAAAGTGTGCATATTATTACAACAAAGAATTGGCAGCTGCAGAAGGAAAAGGGCTTGTGCCTCTGCCGTTCAAACTTGTCAGTCAACCCATGCCAGTCCTGGACGTCTGCCTCCCCAGCACACCCTCATTACATGTGTCTGTCTGAGCTGACTTGCTCATCTGTTCAGAGACGCTCCGCATAAGTCGGGAATTCTCTCCTCCTTGCTGGAATTAGATCACAACCCTTTCCCCGAAGCATCTGCCTCCAAACACTCCTCCTCTTCTTCCTTGCGGAAGCCTCTCTGCCTATGTGGTCTCTCTTTGTAGCTTTCACAACCTGTGTGTTTGATTTCTAGAATGGAAGAAGCCGAACTGCTGAAGGAACGATTGCAGGCCATCACAGTAAGTGCTTATACTAATTATATATATTTATATACCTAGAAAATCATGATCAGTGCTGCTTAGAGGTAATTCAGTGGTAAGAACATGTTCCCTGTGATGTAGTGAAATCCTTTGTTTCAGTTCTTATTTGCTTGGGCTTTGCAGATGGGAAACTTTGAGGATTATGTGTTATTTTGTATATATGAATTGCATTTATAACATGCATACAATTTGACAGTTAGGTCCAGAGCACTGGATGCAGCTGACGTAGTAGTGCTATGTTTTATATCGAGCATACGCGATGACGCTGTCATTAAGACCTAAGTGGCTCAGGGAGCATGCATGAATACATTCATTTGAAGGACACTAGGTCAGAAAGCCAAGAAAGAGCTGGTGCTAAATCATTGCACCATGGGAAGAGAAAAGTCTTTTGCTTTAATTGAAATGTGGTACTTTATTTTGTTGATGATTTAAGTGTGTGCTATAAAGTTTTTTTTAAAAAAAACCCATGTGATTGGTGACATTCAAATCAGTTACATGGCATTTAGGAGATTTTTATTAATTATATATTTTGTTAAAAACAAAATATGTGCCAAGCTGTTTAGTAGGAGCCCCTGAAAAAATGTGTCTCTATTTTCTGAAGAGAAGGTAGACACAAAGAGAAAGCCGCTGTAAGAATAAAATGCATTGACCTCCAACACTCTACAGCCCTGACATGTCATCTGCCTTGTGCTCTCGTATCATGGGAAGTTTGGGTCAGTACTTACTTACTTACTTACTTACTTACTTACTTACTTACTTACTTACTTACTTACTTACTTACTTACTTACTTACTTACTTACTTACTTACTTACTTACTTACTTACTAGTCTAGCTTTCTGACCAAAAGTGGCAATGAGTATAGCCGCAACAATTAAAATTCAAAGTAAAAGAAATGGAATGTAAAGTTAAAATGGATTAGATACAATTAGAAGCAAATTGATGGAAAGAAGTCTCCTTTAATTAAAACCTAACTTCGGCCTCAAAGTCCTGGCTGAACAAATAGCTCTTTGCAAGTCAATGAAAAGACAACCTTCGCAGGGAGTTCTAACGCCTGAGGGCAACTCCTGAGAAAGCCTACTAGACTAAATCATTGGAGGAAAGACATTGGCTGTTCTTTGAAGACAGAACTATGATTGGCTGCTGGCATCATGATGCAATAATATTCATGATCCAAGAGAATTCTTCTAAAGCTAGGTACTGCATCCTCTGGAAAAGAACACTTAGTTCTTTCTCATGTATTTGTTTTCCATCCCAGGCATATGGTGCCAGAGGGACAAAAGGTTGGAGAGTCTTAAAATTAAGGAGTATGCTAGTCATTTCTGTAACTGTTCTTTCAGCCTCTGTTTGGCTCATCCCTGAATAGCAAGACTTCCTGCTGGTGAAATGACATCTGCTATTTGTTTCCATCCTGTATTTTTAATATAATTTGAATTTTCATTCCACAAAAAATCCATACAGAAATAAAAGGTGGATTACTTGCACATTGTCTTTTGATTATAAATGAAGAAAGCACTTTAAAAAAAAAACTAAAAGAGGGCTGGACTTTCCACAGCATCATTCCCATTTCAAGCTATATTGTTATGCACAGTGAGTCCAAATAGGTGTCTTCATGCAAGCTGTTAAATTAGGTCTGGCCCAAAATATTATGGTGCCTGAGGGAGAGAAACAAGTGATTATGTCCCTCCCCCCCCCAAAAAAAAAAGTAGATAGCATAGGAACTAAGGCAAGTTATTTTGGCACACGAGGCAGAAACCTCTGCAAGTGCTTCTCCCTCTCACTGGCAATAAAAACTAAGTGATATCAGAGTAAAAAATTGCTGCCTTTTCACCCCAAATCTGCTGCCTGAGGTGTCTACCTCTCTCTTCCCAATGCTATGGCCTGGTTAAAATCTTTTCAGGGTAATACATTTTATAGACTGATTTGCAAGCTTGCTATAGCGTCTGCCTCTCAAGAAACATGGAGAGCTTTTGTATGTATAGTGCAAGGTAGGGAGATGTTCTCTACCTGAGGTGTGCTAGTACAATTAAAGACAACCTAATAGTTATTTCTATAGTGCCATCACTGTGAGTGTGGATTTACAAAGTATAAGGAGGGGAGAGGTCCCTGTCACCAAGGGAGTTGCAATCTAAGATTTGACATGGGAAGACGACAGAGGTTGACGCAAGAGTAAACAGGAAAAATACGCTTTTTTATTCCATTACTATGTTGAGGCTTGGTTAAAATGGTAATATGAAACCTCAATGGTTGTGACAAGTCTCCATGGAGAAAATATGAAAGAGAGATGGCTTAATCAGGGAGCCAGCCCTTTCATTAGACAGAGTGTGGCAGGTTTTCTGGTTGTTTTGATCTTACATGCCTCAACACCTGAGGCACTGGTCCTCCTTTCTTGGAAGAAAGAAATTGTACTGTGTGATCCATTGATATATCTCCTGAACTGGCCTGCTGCCCTCATGTGTGGAGAACCCTGTCCCACTAAATTCAGTTGGCAATCCACTCAGCTTGAGACAGTGCCATCTTGTCCTGTGCCTCAGGCGGCCAATTATCTGGTCTTCGCCCTCATGTTAATGTTTGAAGGAAGGAATGAGGTGGGGAGAGATAGTGTTATAAAAGAAACATTCTGAGTTTTCTTAGGGAAGAGGATCTTCTTCACACACCCTGGGAATAGCAAGAATATTATGTTATTTGTGGAATAAGAATGTGAGAAATTTGAGCCCACCTCTCTGCAGCAACAGAAAAAGACAAATCTCTCTTCCCTATAAGTATACTCAACAAGGAACAGTGACCTCTGTTTTAGCTTAATGATCTGTCCAGTTGACTGGATTATTTTAAGGCCATCTATACTGAGACATTTAGGAAGAAAGGAAGGCATAAAGTTCAGAGTTTGGCAGCAGGATGTTCTTGAAATCTGGATTAACTGAACCACTCAAACCCACAACAGGGAGGTGTACGTTAGTAAACAACCTTTAAAAATAGAACTGCGACACACCAGCCATCATTCTTTTCTCAAAGATGTCAGCTGTTTGGTTCAGTTAGTTAGGCAGGAGACTTCACAGAGAGAATAAACAATATAGGGACACATGTAAATTAGTCACTTCCATTTCCGAGGGAATCCTGGGAACTGTAGTTCCATATGCAGGGATCATGACGTTAACAGATCATTCTCTGAAACTGTACTTCCCAGGGTAACTGAGGGAAGCTATGATTATGAAAACTCTATCACGCTACTATAAATGAGTGGTGCATACATGCCCGAACATTTGCTTTCCCTCTATATTAACATGTTCTGTTCTGTGATAAATTTATTCCCTGTTTTCAAATTCTGAAAGCAGGAACAGGTAGGCAGCTCTCTCAGCCTGTTCTAATAGCTGATAGCATCAAATAGCTCTGTTCTTCCAGCAAAATAACTACTGTTTGTATAGCTTTGGCCAGTGACAATATCAAAGGTTGATTTTGAGAAGATTTTGACTCCCAACAGGGTCTCAGTGCCAACCTCCAGGGCTCACTGGCTACGCTTCTCTTGTTATTGCTACTTGTTTGTCTGTGGCCTATAAAGCAAACATAGCAAGAAAAAAAGAGGAGCAGCCTACACTCACCCTGATCTCTCCCCACTGGACATCTGTGTGAACAAAGAGGGAGGCTGTATGAATGAGTATCACCAACAACAGAAACAGGTTGGCCCATTGAGGGAGGGAAATCGCTGTCCAAGCCCTCCTCCCCAAAAACCAAACTTATTTTGGTTTAACCCTCTAACAGAATTAATATTCTTTGTCCCCAAGGAAGCACAATCAAGGCACATATCGACCCCATTCATGCCATTCTCTTTGCATTGCACCCGCCGCCGCCCAGGGATTGTTCATAGTGAGTGGGTTGTCTGAATCATTTGCCGTATACATAGGCATGGGTATTATTTCATAGACAATCTGCACTGTGTCAGAGAGAGATGTTCTGCTACTACTTAAAGCAACTGAGCTAAACAGTTTGCCATGAGCAAAGAGGAAACATGCCACCACAAGCAGGACAATTGAATGCCCTCACCTTCAAACATGATGAGATAGATGTGGCAACAATCAAATGATGACAGATAAGCTGATTCTATTTAATAAGCAGTACCCATATTCTTTTAGGGAAAACTATAGGGTGGGTCATTTTAAATAACATGCAAGCTCCACAGTTTCTGGTCTTGTGAAACTTTCCCCATCCCTCCCCCACACCTTAAACTCTGTCCCTCCTTTTCTAGCTTTCCTTCACCACTTCAGTTCCTTCTCTTCTGGACTATTACCTTTCATTAGCTTCTTTTTCTTTCTTATTCTGGCCTTCTTTTCTAATATTTTTGTCCATCCCTTACAGGATCAGACCAGCTCAACCAATGGCAGTGGGAGAGTTTCAGGCTGAGATTCTCTTAGCAAATTTATTGGCCCTCAAGGCAGCATGGTACCAGTGGAGCATGGAACCCTTGATCCCTAAACTCTATGGCCTTGCCAGAAGGATACCATAGCCAATGGTATCAAAGGCTGCAGAAAGCCTTATTTCTTACACTCCCCCGTCTGCCTCCTTTAGGAGATCATCTTTCAGGGTGTCCAATGCTGTTTCAGTACCATGCCGTGGCCTTTGAAACGCATCCAGATTATCAGTTTCTTCCAAGAACGCCTGTAACTGGGCAGGTGTAATCAGCCTAATAGGTCCATCCACACTGCAGAAGGGCATTGTTGTACAAAGTCCAAATCTCAGCAGGTGATGAACTGATCATGACAAGGTGGAAGACTCAAGATTTGCCACCTTCAGGTCATCTTCTTTCTCCAGGTCTAAGGTGTGCCCCACCACATGTGTAAGACCAGTGACATATTGGGACAAGCCCATGGACGCCATTATGTTCATGATCTCCTAGGCTGCCCCAGCAACATATGTCTCTGAATAAATTTTCAAGTCCCCCAGATGTAAAAGTCTGGGGGACCTCAACAACACACCCAAAATGAAGTCCTTCAGGCCCGGTAGAGAAAGCGTTGGTTCCTCGGAGACACAGCACACCAACATGATTCCACTCTGACTCACTGGTCCATCATGAGGTGATGACACTCCAGGCCTGAGCCTGCACAGATAGAAATCCTGGTAACTTTAATATATTTCCAATGGACTATGGCAACACTCCCTCCCCACTCCTCTGATGTGCTATGATGTTGGACGGAGTATCTTGGGGTGCATATCTGGGAAAGACTGACCCCCCACCTTCCGCCTCCACCTTGGTTTCAATTATACAAATGGCAATTTTCTAAGCCTAGGACAGTCAAAGAATCAAAGTTGCAGGAACTCATCCCACCACAGCAGACTACTAAGAAGAATACTACAAGGGTCTTAGTCAACACCATCCAGTTCCTTAGCACAGGAATAAGAGATATTTGGTCCTATTGTCAAACTCCAGTTCCCACCCTTTCTGATAATTGATTGAGGCTGATGGAACTTCGAGTCCAGCAACAGCTAGAGATTTGCAGATTCTCTGCCTTAGCCTTGGCATGCTAGGTAAAGGTAAATGTAAAGGTTCCCCTTGACATTTTAGTCAGTCGTGTTCGACTCTATGGGGCAGTCCTCATCCCCGTTTCCAAGCCTTAGAGCCAGCGTTTGTCCGAAGACAGTTTCCATTGTCACGTGGCCAGCACAGCTATACACGGAACGCTGTTTATCTTCCCACCGAGGTGGTACCTATTTATCTACTCGCAGTTACATGCTTTCGAACTGCTAGGTTGGGGAGGAGCTGGGACAAAGTGACGGGAGCTCACTCCATCACGTGGATTCGCTCTTACGACTGCTGGTCTTCTGACCCTGCAGCACACGCCTTCTGCGGTTTAGCCCACAGCGCCACCACATCCCTGCCTTGGCATGCTAAATAATTGCTAAAGTGAGGGAGATTACAAAGACGGCACCAAGACAGTACAGTAATGCACCAAAATATTACATTTACCTATAAATCCATGTGAACAGATATCTTAAAATTACAGGTTATGAATGCATGCTTTGCAATGGAGACAGCTTTCTCTCCTCCCATAATTCATCTAAATTCATCCAAATAACGGGGTTCCAATGGACTAGTTTTGCTTTTGGCTATAGTGTTGCAAGCATGTGCCTTTCACGTGACTTGAAGCAATCCACATCAATTAGAGTCATATGCGGGAGAATATTGCGTGTTCTGTGACATTCTTGAGTCAGATCACAGAATAGTTTGACTGTACTAAACTCTCTAGATTCTGATAAATGCTTCCGAATTTTGAATCGACAACATCCAATCAGCAAAACTCCCATTGGCTCAAATTTTACAGGAATCAAATCTATTGTAATTTGTTTCTTTTCCCTTACGGGTTGTGTGGGCAAGGAATAAATCCCTTTTCCTCTTTTGTCTTTTTCAGGACAAGAGGAGGCTGCAAGAGGAAATCACACAGAAACGCCACACAGTAGAAGAAGAAAAACTAAAACATCAGCACTTGAAGGTAAATCTTGAGGAGATTCAACTTTCTTCTTTGGAAGTTTACTACATCAAAAAACCAAGATGAAAAGTATAAAGGCATATGCATCATTAGATTTCTCTGCACTTGGTGGCTGAAAGCTGAATGCATGACCTGACTCTTGAAAAGCACAGAGCTGAGGTGGGAGGAATAACAGAGAGAATATTAATTCACACTTGCAAGTAATTTACATTTTCATGAAACAAGCTCAGGCTACTTTATGCAGCCCTTCTCCCTATTTTCATCCTGGCAGCAACACCATGAGGTAAAGTAGTCTTAAAACATCATGACCAGCCCGAGATTATCCAGTTAAGAATTTCAAACCTAGTCTCCATAGTCCTAGCTCAATTTACTGGCTACTGCGCCTCAAGGACGTACATGTGAATCAGCTCCTCTTGTCAATAGATAAACAGTGCATTCAAGCTACAAATGTGATTTGATTCATGCCTCTCAATGTTTCCTTAACATTTCTCACTGTTTTCCTAATGTTTAGAGCTTGAATTCTTTATTTTCTTAGTTTTACAGATGGACTTTAGATGTAAACAACGAGAAAACAATAGACTTTATTAATAAGCACTAGGTATTTCAGAAGTCGTATATATAATAAGCTTATGTTGTTTAGTCATGCTGCTTTGCAAATTTAAAATGAGATCATGACCAGAAATAATTCCTTACTTAAAACCATGGCTGCCCTTTTTCCAACAGGGTGTGCCCGTGGCACTATGCTTTATTCACCATCGCAATTAGATTCAACAAAGCATCAAGTAGAAGAGTCTGCTAAAATCCTCAGGCAGTCGCTTATTTTATCTGGCAAACCTTTAGTCAATTTAGTTTAATGGATCTAAAATGAAAAGCTGTTTTGACCCTGCTTCCCACGCATAGGAGAAGCATCTGCAGATTTTACACTGATGTCAAATCTGCCAAGTTCCTTGGTTCAGGAGCCCAATTACTGATGGATCAAATAACGAGCCTGGCATGAATGAGACGAGGAGGGTGGAGAGAGAGAGAAAAAGACTGACTAAATGTTCTCAAGCTTGGCTTTGCATGGGCAGCTTGACATTTCTTGTCATTTTACAAACCAAAAAGTCCACAATGCTCATTTGTTGATAATACCCCAAAACCATTATGCTGCCATAAAGGAATCCCAACACAAATAATGCCCTCCATAAAGGATTGGGTGAAAGCACTCAGCTGTCAAGGTCAGCTACAAAGTGCACAATATTGCAAATGACGTATAGATTGTCTTATTCAGATTTTCCCAGTTGCTCAAGTGGAAATGTTTCTAAGAAGCAAGGAGCTGCTAAGGAGCTATTCAAATCATTGCTCACACATTGCAATAAGTGGGAGAGCAAGATAATTATGTGATCGGTTTTGCACATCAGAGTATCAGGAATGAGTGTCATAGGAACTTAAGAAGCTGCTTTATACAGAATCTAACCATCTTTTCCCCATGCCAAATATTGCCCATTCTGACGTTGTTTAGTTGTTTAGTCGTATCTGACTTTTTGTGACCCCATGGACCAGAGCATGCTAGGCCCTCCTGTCTTCCACTGCCTCCCGGAGTTGGGTCAAATTCATGTTGGTAGCTTTGAAGACACTGTCCAACCATCTTGTCCTCTGTCGTCCCCTTCTCCTCTTGCCTTCACACTTTCCCAACATCAGGGGCTTTCCCAGGGAGTCTTCTCTTCTCATGAGATGGCCAAAGTATTAGAGCCTCAGCTTCTGGATCTGTCCTTCCAGTGAGCACTCAGGGTTGATTTCCTTAAGAAAGGATAAGTTTGATCTCCTTGCAGTCCAGGGGACTCTCAAGAGTCTCCTCCAACACCACAATTCAAAAGCATCAATTCTTCGGCCTTCTTTATGGTCCACCTCTCACTTTGCTACTGGAAAAACCATAGCTTTGACTATGCGGACCTTTGTTGGCAAGGTGAGGTCTCTGCTTTTTAAGATGCTGTCTAAGTTTATCATCGCTTTCCTCCCAAGAAGAAGGCATCTTTTAATTTCATGGCTGCTGTCACCATCTGCAGTGATCATGGAGCCCAAGAAGGTAAACTGTCACTGCCTCCATATATTCTCCTTCTGTTTGCTAGGAGGTGATGGGGCCAGTAGCCATGATCTTAGTGTTTTTGATGCTGAGCTTCAAACCATTTTTTTTGCACTCTCCTCTTTCACCCTCATTAAGAGGCTCTTTAGTTCCTCTTCAGTTTCTGCCATCAGAGTGGTATCATCTGCATATCTGAGGTTGTTAATATTTCTTCTGGCAATCTTAACTCTGGTTTGGGATTCCTCCAGTCCAGCCTTTCGCATGATGTATTCTGCATATAAATAAGCAGGGGGACAGTATACAGCCTTGTCATACTCCTTTCCCAATTTTGAACCAATCAGTTGTTCCATATCCAGTTCTAACTGGATATGTAACATATCCCACATATAGATTTCTCAGAAGATGGATAACATGGTAAGGCACTCCCATTTCTTTAACGACTTCCCATAGTTTGCTGTGGTCCACAAAGTCAAAGGCTTTTGCATAGTCAATGAAGGAGAGTAGATGTTTTTCTGGAACTCTCTGGCTTTCTCCATAATCCAGCGCATGTTAGCAATTTGGTCTCTAGTTCCTCTGCCCCTTCAAAATCCACCTTGTACTTCTGGGAGTTCTCAGGCCACATACTGCTGAAGCCTGCCTTGGAGGATTTTGAGCATAACCTTACTAGTGTGTGAAATGAGTGCAATTGTACAGTAGTTGGAGCATTATTTGGCACTGCCCTTTTTCGGGATTGGGATGTAGACTGATCTTTTCCAATCATTTGGCCACTGTTGAGTTTTCCAAACTTGCTGGTATAGTGAGTGTAGCACCTTAACAGCGTCATCTTTTAAGATTTTAAATAGTTCCACTGGAATGCAATCATCTCCACTAACCTTGTTATTAGCCATGCTTTCTAAGGCCCACTTGACTTCACTCTCCAGGATGTCTGGCTCAAGGTCAGCAACCACGCTATCTGGGTTGTCCGGGACATTAGGATCTTTCTGATAGAAAAACTCTGTGTATTCTTGCCACCTTTTCTTGATGTCTTCTGCTTCTGTTAGGTCCATACCATGCAAGTCTTTTATCATGTCCATTTTTGCACAAAAGGTTCCTTTAATAGCTCCAATTTTCTTGAACAGATCTCTCATTTTTCCCTTTCTATTATTTTCCGCTATATCTTTGTAGTGTTCATTTAAAAAGGCCCTCTTGTCTCTCCCTGCTATTCTTTGGAAGTCAGCATTCAATTTTCGGTAACTTTCCCTATCTCCCTTGTATTTTATTTCCCTTCTCTTTTCGGCTATTTGTAAGGCCTCGTTGGACAGCCACTCTGCTTCCTTGCATTTCCTTTTCTTTGGGATGATTTTTGTTACTGTCTCCTGTACAACGTTACGAGCCTCCATCCATAGTTCTTCAGGCACTCTGTCCACCAAATCTAGTTCCTTAAATCTATTCTTCACTTCCGCTGTGAATTCAAAAGGGATTTGGTTTAGATTGTTCCCGACTAGCCCGGTGGTTTTTCCTACCTTTTTTCAGTTTAAGCTTGAATTTTGCTATAAGAAGCTGATGGTCATTCTTCATTTTCAAACAGTTTAGAGTCCTCAGAATCACCCCCCGGGGGACAGTCCAAGGGGAATCTCATTTTCCCTCAGCAATTCGTCTGCTCTCTCATCCAGGAGTGGGGTGGTCTCATCGTCATCCGACTGGTCGTCTCTGGTCTCTCGAAAGAGGTTCCAACGTCCTGTAGAAAACCCCTCCTCCTCCTCGCCTCCTCCACTCACCATTTTCTTCTTTCTCCCTCTTCCCATTCAACTCTTTCCTTTTCCTCCCGCAACCTTCTCCTCCACTCTCTTGCTGCCAATTCACCCCAATAGGAAGGCCTTTGAGGGATCCCCCTCTTTCTGCGATAATCAGCCTTCTTTCTCAGCACCCACACACGCTCCCATTTTCTGGAAAATGGGTACTGTATCCAAACCATCTCCCAATCCCCAGGTATTGGATCTTCCCTCTTTTTTATTTCCATCGAACCCGCCTCAATCGCCACCCTCCAGGTCCTTTGCATTCCCGCCAACTCTGCTGGGGGTTTGAACAGCAATGGTTATCCATTTGTTCCTCCAAATCCCAGGTATCAGTTCCCTTTTGAATAGTCTCTTTTGGCGGGTCTGTCAGTGTGGTCTGTACCTCCCTCTCCACACATGGAATGGACAGTACCCCGGCGAGAACCTCTTTGCTCTCGCCCCGGATCTCTCCCCCATCCAAGAGAGCCGTCCTTTCCTCCTCACTCTTCGCCCAGGAACCCTGTTGGGGGGAAAATAGTCAACATTACCATGATCGCTTCCCTTTCAGTACTGGACCGTAAAACCGAACAGCTGCAAGGCCAAATACCAGCAAGTGAGCCTAGCGTTGGTTTCTTTCATTTGGACCAGCCACTGCAAAGGGGCA